AAAACATCTCGCAATAAATGCCCGAGTGAGGATGGGGGGTCGACCAAGGTCTTAAAACAGTTCTAAGTACAAGGGTTCAAAGGCGAGCTAAGCTCAAGATGACCTCGGCCACACACACACACACCGAACAAGGAAAAAACCACGCAAGCAGTACAAACAAAACAGGCAAGAAAACCTTCCAATTAGCATAACAAGGCAAGATCATGGAGGAATGTATGCAAATATGACAAGAGTAAGGTGAGGGTTGTTACAATGACATACCTCTCTTGTTGTGAAAATATACAATTTTATTATTAAATATGAGTGAAGTGATATTTAACAATAATTAATATGATGTTTCTATTATTAATTCCGATAATTTAAGTTACATTTCTTTTGATTTCAATTTCATAACTAAAAAACAATATGAATATAATACAACACATGGATTTCTAGTCTTTAAGAATAAGAAGGTTTCAAAATCTATTCAAACTTTCATCATTTTTTTTTAATTCCAATTTGATGTTAAATTTGAATAAAATTTTTAATTTTACATGAATTACTTTAACTTTTTCATTAAACGTTTATCAATTTAAAAGAATTTCATTCTTATCCCAATTTTTTTTTTTTTCCTTTTCACCAATTTTGATGGAAAAAACAATAATTTTCAACATTTCATCTTTTTAAATTTTTATCAAATTATAATTTGATTAAAAAAATGTTAAGGGTTGAAGATTCTCTTAATTGGAATTAAAGTGAAATAACATTTTAAAATAGTCAAAATTTGAGTATGTGGTTGGTTGAAATGTATAATTTTAATTAATTATCTTCTCATATTTGTTAAAAATTGACACTTATGATTACATCATTATAAGTCAGATTATGAAAAAATTTTGAAGTGTCAAACATTTTTCATTTGTAAACATCCTACATATTAAAAAAATGTAGTTTTTGGATATGTGTTTATCACTTTTGTTTTATGAACATAAACAATTGATGTTTCAATTTAAAAATTAAAAAGTAAAAAAAAAGATTGGTTTTTTAGAGATGAAGGAAGCCATCTGGCTCTTCTATATACTATTTAAGATGGACTATTTAATCACATAAAAAATAAAATTATATTTAGAGGTTATCCATATATATTATGCTATTATATACAACCATAGTTGTAACAAATTAACCATATATATATGAAAAAGTTATATTAAATTTTTATTTTCAATTAATTGAATTATAATTACAAAACTACACAATAGCTATAATTGTATAATGGGATAGAAAGAGGATTGACATGGGTAAGCCCATAAAGATTATAGCCCACAATTTAGGGCCAGTACATAACTCAAATACTAAATCCCAGCATTGTTGAAGCCCCACGTAGCAATAAAAACCAATGACATCAAGACACATGGCAAGAGAAGGGCAAGCCACATAACATAGCAGACAAAGATCTGCAAAGTTATTGCTACTGTACATCGCCATTAAATGAAGCCCCTTACAGCATTTATTGCGATAACCCCTCTCCGTCGGGACAGAACGCCTTCACCATGAACAAGGTAAGCTAGAGCATAGACTTTCGGCTAAGGTGACAGGTCGGAAGGGACAACGAAATGATTACCAGAGGATATAAGCAGACGTCGAAGACAAGAAAAAGGTTAAGCTTTCTAACTCCAATCTATCTCTACATTCCACCTCTCTCTCTCTAACTTGTTCGTCGGAGGGTTCGCTAGGGGACTCCGTTCCCCGTTGAACTCTTGTGCAGGCTCCTCTGTGGGCTTGGTCACTCGGACACCGGTTTGGGAAGCATGGATCAGTCCGACCGTTCCGTCTGGAAACAATTATAGCGATCCCGGTTTCCCTTTTCTTTAATTGTTGTATCCGGACTTAGGTTCCGTGGAGTTGGTTGTTGTGTATACCTTATTCACATCCTTTCTTACTTTGTATCTGAGTTATAGGATATGTTGTGCAGGTTTGTTACAGGTTGGTTGAGGTTTAGAAACCAAAACTAGTTGCCCAGATTTTGACCTATCCGCTTGAGCGGGGAGTTTGACGCTCGAGTGAGGATCCTTTTGTTGCTTGTCCACTTGAGCGGGGGTTTTGGCGCTCGAGCGGGAAAAACACCCATCCAGTATCTCCTCTATAGTGTTGTACGCTCGAGCAGTGGTTGTGACGCTCGAGCGGGAGTCTGTGAGTGACGCTCGAGCGGGGGTTTGGCCGCTCGAGCGGGGCGACTGGGTTAAATCTCCGTATTTTGACTTTTTAAATCACTTTTTCCACTTCTCTTCTCTCTCTTACTTTTCCAAAAACACCGTTGTTGAGCTTCTCACTCTAGAGCTTTACCTTCTCTCTAGGTATTGATCTAGTAGGAGTGATTTCCTCACCTTTGGCCTTTACAAAAAAGTTGTTGATCGTCGAGGGCTATCTTTTGATCCGAAAAGTTCGTGGTTTGGAGCATTTTAGTTTCCATCATCTTCTTGGTTGGGTGTCATTCTTTGAGGTAGGGATAACCTACTCCTCACTATCGGTTTTGTCTTTAAATTTTAGCATTTTGAGATGTTGGGGTTGGGTTGGTAATGTTGTGAAAGTTTGGGGCTTTTGTGTAAATTTACAAAATTTGGGGTTTTAGCTATATAAAACCTAGATGCATGTTTGGCATGGAAAAGTGAAATTAATGTTAAAACATTAATGAAAATGGAACCTAAGGATTGTAATGTTAATTATGGAAAACGCCCTAATTACATTGGATAATTAATTCGCATAATTAATTATGAGGAATGAGAAATTGATTTGGAAATATATGGAATTAAAAGGTGTAGTTGGATTATTTATCACTCACCTGGTTGAAATGTTGATTATATATCCATTGTTGTATTTATTTTCTGTATAGAAATAACTGCTTTGGGCTATCGGTGGAGGATAGTCTTGATTGTTGTAGACAATGCATGATGATTAGGCAAACGGAAACTAATCACTGGAATGAGTCATTGAGTATGATGATTGAAAGAACACGTTAAATTTATGTGTTGTGTGATGATGTGTATAATTATTGTTTATATGCATTGTGTCGTGTGGGAGGAGATAGGTGATGTACTCCACGGTTTAGGGAAAAATAGGGAATGGACCTCTAAACCGGATGTTGTTGGGAGAAGATAGGGGATGGACTCCATAGATAGAGCTCATATGCTTATCTAGTAATGTGTTGACAGAGCTCATATGCTTGTCATTGGAAGTG